TCAGAATCAGAATCAGAATCATTTTTATTGCCAACGTAAAGTAACGGGAGGTCACAGACTTGGAAATTGCTTTGGCTCAGTGCAACAGTCAAAAAGAGATAATAAAAATAAGAATCAAAAAAAAAACACAGTAAAGAATAAATTTAAATTTAAAATAGAGTTACAGTTACTATTTACAATATACAAGTGCACATGGTGCACACAATGTAAGGTGACAGCAGTACAGTGAAGTAAAGTGACGTATGATGGGCAGTAAAGTGACTTTATAAAGGGCGGGGGGACAGGTTAAGAAGTGTTCAAGAGTCCAACAGCAGAGGGGAAGAAACTGTTCTTGTGGCGGGAGGTTCTAGTCCTGATGGACCGCAGCCTCCTGCCTGAGGGGAGTGGTTGGAATAGTCCATGTGCAGGGTGAGAGGGGTCGGCTGTGATACGACCAGCCCGGCCTCGAGCTCGGGCGACGTACAGGTCCTGCAGCGATGGAAGGCTGCGGCCGATCACTTCCTCTGCAGAGCGCACAATGCGCTGTAGTCTCTGTTTGTCCCTGACTGTGGCTCCAGCGAACCACACGGTGATGGAGGAGGTGAGGATGGACTCGATGATGGCCGTGTAGAACTGCACCAACATCTGTGCAGGCAGCTTGGCTTTCCTGAGCTGCCGCAGGAAGTACATCCTCTGCTGGGCCTTCTTGATGAGGGAGCTGATGGTCGGCTCCCACTTGAGGTCCTGGGTGATGGTGGTGCCCAGGAAACGGAAGGACTCCACAGAGGTGATGGGGGAGTCCATCACGGAGGGTGGGGGCGGGGGGACAGTGCTCTTCCTGAAGTCCACAATCATCTCCACTGTCTTCTGGGCGTTCAGCTCCAGGTTGTTACCACTGCACCAGGACACCAGCCGGTCCACCTCCCTCCTGTAGGCGGACTCATCGTTGTTGGAGATGAGTCCAATGAGGGTGGTGTCGTCCGCGAACTTGATCAGCTTCACGGAGTCGTGGCTGGAGGTGCAGTGGTTGGTGTACAGGGAGAAGAGCAGGGGAGAAAGAACACAGCCCTGTGGGGCTCCTGTATTTATAATCCGAGAGTCCGAGACATTCTTCCCAGACGCACTCGCTGCTTCCTGTCCGTCAGGAAGTCAGTGATCCACCTGCAGGTGGAATCGGGCACGTTGAGCTGGGAGAGCTTGTCCTGGAGCAGGGATGGCAGGATTGTGTTGAAGGCAGAGCTGAAGTCCACGAACAGGACCCTGGCGTAGGTCCCCGGGGAGTCCAGGTGCTGTAGGATGTGGTGGAGGGCCAGGTTAATGGCGTCGTCTACAGATCTGTTGGCTCTGTAGGCGAACTGCAGGGGGTCCAGGAGGGGGGAGGTGAGGGACTTGAGATGGGAGAGAACCAGGCGTTTCAAATGACTTCATGACGACAGACGTAAGTGCTACAGGTCTGTAGTCATTGAGTCCTGTGATCCTGGGCTTCTTCGGGACGGGGACAATGATGGAGGATTTGAAGCAGGCCGGGACATGGCAGGACTGCAGAGAGGAGTTGAAAATGTCCGTGAACACAGGAGTAAGCTCACTGGCGCAGTGTCTCAGAGTGGCCGGAGACACGTGGTCCGGGCCAGGAGCTTTGCGGGGGTGCAGCCTCAGGAAGAGTTGTTTAATCTCTTTAGCGGCTATTGTTAGGCTGGGGGCAGGGCTGATGGGTGGGTCGTACATACATAGTTCAGCATTGCAAATAAGTGTGTGTCCTTAGTCCTCTTTCAGGAAAAGTCAAGATAATAAGTGTAGTAATAGTTGTGCTGTACTGACAGCCGGCAGTTTCTGATGAGCGCTTGAGGCTGCAGCAGCAGCTGCTGTCCGCCTGTGTGGCGCTGTCCACCTCCGTGGTGCTGAAACCTCTCCCTCTCCCTTGTGCTGTAGATGTCGGCTCTGCACATCTCCCCCTGCTGCCTGTAGTGGGAACAGCAAAGTGCTCTTCTCTTGCACCTCATTTTTTGTTGTTGCTGTGATTTGAGTAGCTCTATTTACGGTGAGATTTTGACTCGTTTTATTACGAGACAATACTGAAACACGTTTGTATTCTCAAAATCGTCATGATTTTGAACATAACATGCAACTGTATGGTATTTTAAACATTACACAAATATTAAAATAATGATACATGTGGTTCATTTCTGACATTTCGGATGAGGAAATGTAAATAATGGATACACGTTGTATTTAGTTCAGGAAACACTGGATCAGCGTGCATCATGCTTGGCAGCTCCCCCGCCTCTCTCCCTTTGCTCTACAGACCTCCATACGGGTACTTACGTCAGCTGCTGCCTGGTGCAGTGCACGCTCACTGCTCTAATCTAATCTGTGAAGAGGAGCACGGTGCATTTTCCCTCTCTGACCACAGGAAGGCACCGGTGAGCCTTGAGCCACACGCATGAGTGTTGCCATGGAAGCATGTCATGCCACTTTTTCTCGTTAACACCTTAAGGTTAACACCTTATTCTTTTTTTTCTATTTTAGACTATCTCATTTATATATTTATTTACTATGTTATTGTATTTTCATAATTGAAAAAAATGATTGATTATTTATTAAAAACAAGTTAAGATTTGTAAGGCAAATAGTCACTGTTATTGAATGAAATCAATTCGTTTTTGTTGGCTGTCTTAAATGTTTTTAGACATTCATAATATAGTATTACTAAATTTATATATTGTAGTACTTATATTGCTGCAACGACGACAAAGTCATATTTTTCATATTCAATGGGCATTTACAATACAGTATTAGATAGAGAGAGATAGAACACACACTGATCTTACGCCCTTACGTCACGGTGATGCTGACGGTCTTTGCTCATCATTGGTGGAAACTCCTTTACGGCTCCTCCAATGGCATATTCGCCTCTACAAAGAGATCTACTCTTCTCCCAGTGCCTTCAGTTCTGTAACAATGGTGATGTGGCGCTCAAGAGCCGGATTTATACCGACAAAATGATGTAGGCTATAAGACTGCAAATCAAGATTCGTTATTGGATTATAAATCACCTGCTTTTCACTATGCTGTATAGTTACTCGAGGAAGGAGAAATAATGTGGACCAAAGCGTGTTCATGGCAGCTGATTCTGTGGTGGAGTCACTCTGCTTTCTTTTGGAGTACAATAGCCGGGCAGACGCGCTACAGCATCCCAGAGGAACTGAAGCAGGGATCTACAGTTGGAAACCTCGCCAAAGATCTGGGGTTGGTTGTATCTGATTTGGACAAACGAAAACTTAGGATAGCCTCACAAGATGGTAAGCAATATTTTGCCCTGAACTCGAGAAAAGGAGACTTGATAGTGACGGACCGGATTGACAGAGAAGAACTGTGTGGACATAAGCTATCATGCGTGCTGCCTCTGGAGCTGGTGATAGACGCTCCACTGCAATTATTCAGGGTCGAAATAGAGATACAGGACACAAACGACAACTCACCGCATTTTATCACGAAGGAGAAAGTTTTAAAAATTGCAGAGTTGGTCAATCCAGGCGCAAAATTCCCTTTAGAAAGCGCACAAGACCCCGACGTTGGCTCTAACTCTGTGCGTTCTTACATCATTAGTAAAAATGACCATTTCAAGATAGCTGTTAAAAGCAACAAGGACGGTCGTAGAATTCCAGAATTGGTTTTAGATAAAGCACTTGATCGTGAAAAGCAACCAATTCACAACCTTATCCTCACTGCTGTAGATGGCGGAGATCCCGTGCGCTCTGGTACAACGCAGATTACGATTATAGTGCTTGACAACAACGACAATGCGCCTGAGTTTGAGAGGAATGTCTATGAGGCCAATGTCAGCGAGAGAGCAGCACCTGGTACAGACATTTTAACTGTTAAAGCGACAGATATAGACGAGGGGTTAAACGGAGACATCGAATATTATTTCGCAGATCAAACCACGGATCTCACGTTGTCGTTATTTGAAATTAAACCTTTCACTGGTAGCATTGTAGTGAAAGGCTCACTGGACCACGAATCTAACGCTGTACACAGGTTTGATGTAACTGCAAAAGACAAAGGTAATCCCGAGATGGACGGACACTGCAGTGTAGAGATTAAAATAATAGACGTAAACGACAATGCTCCTGAGATTATAGTGAAGTCGTTGACCTCTCCAGTCCCAGAAGATTCAGCAGTGGGGACAGTTATCGCATTGATAAGTGCCCGGGATGTAGACTCGGGTGACAATGGTAGAGTAACACTGACATTATCCTCTGGGTCTCCTTTTAAATTAAACCCATCTGACTCCAACCATTACTCGTTAGTTACCAACGGGCCCCTAGACAGAGAGAAGAGTAGCCGCTACAGAATGAGGATGAGGGCCTCTGATTTCGGTAGACCATCTTTAACAGTAGAAAAAATATTAGAAGTGGATCTATCTGACATAAATGATAATCCGCCAACGTTCTCCCACTCAAAGTATGTTACGTATGTCCAGGAGAACTGTCCTCCAGGAAGGATCCTGTACTCAGTGTCTGCCTCAGACCTGGACTTTGGAGAAAACGCAAAAGTGACGTACTCTATTCTAGAGTCTAAAGTGCAGGACGTGTCAGTCTCGTCTTATGTGTACATCAACTCAGAGAACGGCAGCATCTACAGCATGCACTCGTTTGACTACGAGAAGCTCAAGGTGTTTCAGATCATGGTCCAGGCCAAGGACCAGGGCTCTCCGAGCCTCAGCAGCAACGCCACAGTCCATGTGTTTATCCTGGACCTGAACGACAACGCCCCCGCTGTCATCTACCCCTCCTCCGCGGGCCTGGGCTCCCTCTCTCTCCAGAGGATGCCCCGCACCGCTAAAGCGGCTCACCTGGTCACAAAGGTGACGGCCGTGGACGCAGACTCGGGCCATAACGCGTGGATCTCGTACAAAGTGGCGGAGGCCACGGACGCGTCTCTGTTCACTGTGAACCAGTACACAGGGGAGGTGAGGACTAAACGCGCTGTGGTCGAGCAGGACGACTCCTCTCAGAGGCTGCTCATAGAGATCAGGGACGACGGGGACCCGGTGCAGTCCGCCACCGTCACGGTGTCCATCCTGATGGAGGACGGTCTGCACGAGCCCATCCTGGACATCAGGCACAAAGCAGCAGAGTCCAGCGGGAAAACTGGCCGCCTCGCTCTCTACCTGATCCTGTCTCTGGCCTCTGTGTCCGTGCTGTCTCTGGTGACGTTTCTCATCTTAGCGGTGAAATGTGTGAAGAGCAGCAGGGGCAGCTGCTGCGTCAGACACAGTGACTGTGATGATTACAAGAACCCCAACAGAAACCTGCAGATCCAGCTCAACACTGACGGCCCAATAAAGTATGTGGAGGTCCTGGGGGGAGACATGATGTCCCAGAGCCAGTCGTTCAGGTCCTGCATGTCTCCAATGTCAGAGTACAGTGACTTCACTCTGATTAAGCCCAGCAGCACCTCTGACTTTAAGGAGGTCATCAGTGTCCTGGACGCGTCTCTGCCAGACAGCACGTGGACCTTTGAGAGTCAGCAGGTGAGATCATGAGCATAAAGAAATGTTCTGTAGTGTTTTCTACATGTTTATAGAGATAAGGGTGTGATTGGCTATGTGATGTTTCTGCCTCTTGTTTATTAGACACACACACACACCCACAAATATGTAAATATAGACACACACACACTAATAATACCCGACTAATTATAATTATTCAAATTATGAATATAATATTCTGGTAATTATAGTAATACTAATAATATTATTTTTAATATTATTTTAAAATGTAATACATAAATATATACACTCTACAGTAAAATACAATATACTAATTTAGAACTCCTTATATCAGTTTTTTAAATAAATGTATATATTTAAATAGGCTTCATAACGATATATTGAACGTGAATAGTAACAATATGCTGCCTGCTGGAATGAAGCTGCTGCTGTGTATGTGGTGCACTGGTGAACCTGCTCTGTGATTGGACAGTGTTGTTAGCTGCTCTCAGCCAATAGGAGCCTCGCATGTACAAAGAGATCTAGTCCTCTGCTGCTGAGTGCTACAGCCATAATTCCAGTCAGTGTTGTTCAGTGAGGAGATGCGCTGCTTTGTACTGGACTATTATGGGATATTCTTGCTTTTTCAAAATGCACCACGAACTGGAGTTTATTTGTCAATGAAAGGAATTATGGGCTGACTGTATATGTGAGATTTGGTCTGTTTTGAGGAACCATCAGGACAGAAAGGATGGGTCGTGGATCTGTGGCATGGCGGACGCTTTTGTGGCATTATTTCTTTCTCTTGTGGAGCTTGACAGACGCACAGACACGTTACAGCATCCCAGAGGAACTGAAGCAGGGCTCTGTGGTTGGAAACATCGCCAAAGATCTTGGTTTAGGTTTAACAGACATTTTTGACCGTAAGCTGCGTGTCGCTGCTGAGGCTGGGAAGCAGTATTTCACTGTGGACTCGGGGAAGGGTGAGCTGGTGGTGAACGACAGAATAGACAGAGAGGCTTTATGTGGACAAAGCGCCAGCTGCGTGCTGCCTCTGCAGGTCGTGACGGAAAATCCACTACAGCTCCATCGGATAGAAGTCGAGATACGAGACATTAATGATAATTCACCAGTGTTTAAAACAAAGCAAAAGTCACTGAAAATAGCAGAGTCCACAGTTGCAGGGGTTCGCTTTCCTTTAGAAACAGCTCAGGATACAGATGTAGGCAGTAATACAGTTAAATCTTACAGTTTGAGTAAAAGTGACTGTTTTAGTTTAAAAATGAAAGAGTTGCCAGGTCAAAGACCACTGCCAGAACTGGTTTTAGACAAACTGCTTGACAGAGAGAAAGAAGGCACACACCAATTACTACTGACAGCATTTGATGGAGGCAATCCTGTAAAAAACGGAATAATGGAAATAATTGTTACAGTACTTGATAATAACGACAACCTGCCTGTTTTTAAGAAGCCACTGTACAATGTTAGTGTTCCAGAAAACACATTGTCAGGGACAGTTTTAGTTACAGTCGCTGCTACAGACGCAGATGAAGGCGCGAATGGAGAGGTTCAATACACGTTTGCGGAGCACACACCAGAGACATATATGTCTTTGTTTCAATTAAACTCAGACACTGGTGAAATATCTTTAGTGGGCCAACTGGACTACGAGCTCAGTCCCGTTTATGAAATACCAATCACGGCCAAAGACCAAGGAGTTCCTGAAATGGAGGGGCACTGCCGTGTGCAGATTGTAGTCTTAGACATAAATGACAATGTCCCAGATATAGTTCTGACTTCCACTCCTTCTCCAGTGCGCGAAGACGCAGCCAAAGGAACTGTTGTAGCTTTAATCAGTGCAAGAGACTTAGACTCGGGTGTAAACGGTAAAGTAATATTAAAGCTAAAAGGGAAAACTCCGTTTAATTTAAAACCGTCATTTTCTAATAATTACGCACTTGTCACTAGTGGTCCTTTAGACCGAGAGAGTTTCCCATATTATAACGTGGAGATAACAGCCACAGACGCGGGCTCTCCTCCTCTCTCCAGTCAGAAAACTATATCTGTCAGTATCTCAGATGTGAACGACAACCCTCCAGTCTTCTCGCAGTCCTCGTATAATGTGTATTTAAAAGAGAACGGGGTCCCTGGCTCTATACTGTACTCAGTGTCCGCCTCAGACCTGGACTTTGGAGAAAACGCAAAAGTGACGTACTCTATTCTAGAGTCTAAAGTGCAGGACGTGTCAGTCTCGTCTTATGTCTACATCAACTCAGAGAACGGCAGCATCTACAGCATGCACTCGTTTGACTACGAGAAGCTCAAGGTGTTTCAGATCATGGTCCAGGCCAAGGACCAGGGCTCTCCGAGCCTCAGCAGCAACGCCACAGTCCATGTGTTTATCCTGGACCTGAACGACAACGCCCCCGCTGTCATCTACCCCTCATCCGCGGGCCTGGGCTCCCTCTCTCTCCAGAGGATGCCCCGCTCCGCTAAAGCGGCTCACCTGGTCACAAAGGTGACGGCCGTGGACGCAGACTCGGGCCATAACGCGTGGATCTCGTACAAAGTGGCGGAGGCCACGGACGCGTCTCTGTTCACTGTGAACCAGTACACAGGGGAGGTGAGGACTAAACGCGCTGTGGTCGAGCAGGACGACTCCTCTCAGAGGCTGCTCATAGAGATCAGGGACGACGGGGACCCGGTGCAGTCCGCCACCGTCACGGTGTCCATCCTGATGGAGGACGGTCTGCACGAGCCCATCCTGGACATCAGGCACAAAGCAGCGGAGTCCAGCGGGAAAACTGGCCGCCTCGCTCTCTACCTGATCCTGTCTCTGGCCTCTGTGTCCGTGCTGTCTCTGGTGACGTTTCTCATCTTAGCGGTGAAATGTGTGAAGAGCAGCAGGGGCAGCTGCTGCGTCAGACACAGTGACTGTGATGATTACAAGAACCCCAACAGAAACCTGCAGATCCAGCTCAACACTGACGGCCCTATAAAGTATGTGGAGGTCCTGGGGGGAGACATGATGTCCCAGAGCCAGTCGTTCAGGTCCTGCATGTCTCCAATGTCAGAGTACAGTGACTTCACTCTGATTAAGCCCAGCAGCACCTCTGACTTTAAGGAGGTCATCAGTGTCCTGGACGCGTCTCTGCCAGACAGCACGTGGACCTTTGAGAGTCAGCAGGTGAGAACATGAGCACAAAATGTCCAACAGAAAAATACAAGATTTCTTTTTGTCCGTCCGCCGATGTTTTAGCGAAGGAAAACAGTGCAATTGTTTTCCTTTACCCGTTGAGGTTCAACGTTAAAGTGGGATTGTGGTTAATTAAAAAAAGATAGTGTGTATAACAAAATGAAGTGAATTCAAAATAAATGGAAGTGCTGGTTATATGTGTAACCAACAAAACAATGTCCGAAATTCTAGTACAGTTCTTAAAGTAAGGTAAAAGAGGTAAACATAATCATTGTCAAGTTATTTGGTTACATGTTTGTGCAAATTCCCCACTTGAAAGGGATAAACCCTCCACATATGAGTTTGATCTGGATTTCACTCAATGATCAGCCATGGCTCTTGATTTTCATGCCATTTATTGGGCTTGGTTTCAGCTTTAGATTGGTGAAAAACCTCAAAAGAGAACAAAAACATGCAATCATTCTCTATGTAAATAAACTGTCTTCTAATTGCACTTTTAACAAATAGTGTTCCTGCTAGTAAACAAAATAGTATCTTAAATAATATTTACACCCAAATGAATTAATCTATCTTTTAACCTGGTTTTAAGTAAATACCAGTAAACTGTGTTTAAGACCTTTTTTAAACATTCTTATTAGTTTGCTATATGGTATAGTATTTTTACAGTTGTATAGTATTAACAAATGCCAATTAACCAAATGAATTACGAAACTAAAGTCTACTTTCTTATATATTTTTACAAAAGTTTTTAACCACATTTGAAACTTAATGCGTTTATCTTAGCTTTTTTATCGAAAGGATCAACAGATCTGGTTTTAGCACACTTTTGAAGTAATACGTTTTAACATGTTAACACCAAGTAATTGATTTTAACACGATTGCAAACCGCGTTTTCTAAAAAACATGATCAGTTTACATGAAACATTCCGTTTTTAAAC